TGAAACCCGAACGCCGGATGGCTTGGTTTTTGGTTTGGGCGAACACCAAGTGTTTTTAATGTTTTAAACATGGTTGAAAAACATTTTTATGATGTGAAATGCAATGAAAAGAATTTTAGCCTAAAGAGCCAAGGTGTAAAGATTGGGTCGGTCTTGATCACAATTGTGACCGACTCAACGACACTAAGACTACGGTCTTCGTTCTTGGTCTTCTTTTGGCCCTTGTTCTCTTTCTTCTCATCTTTGGTTCTCGCCTTGTATATTCAATGACTTGTCTCGTTCACGGCGGTTTGGCATTATCAAAACCTGTCATAACAACGAACACGGCTTTAGTACGAAAACGTGATAAACCCGTGTTTCAACAAATGACTACCAAATTGATGTCTAGTAAATTATATTAACATCATATTTACGTTAGTAAATTATATTTACGTTAGTAAATTATATTTACGTTAGTAAATTATTTGTGATTTATATTCTTTTTAAAAAAATTGTTAATTAATGCTTACCAAAATTAATGCCTATGCAATATATTTTAATGAGAAATGTTAGGTTCACAAACAAACTAATCAGAAATTTCACAAACTTATTATTTGTGATTTGTATTATTTTTTAAAAGGGGAAAGTTCCCATGACATTGGGAACCAAAGTGTTTTTAAAAATTATTCTAGACTACTTTATTTTTTTATTGAACTCCATAAATGGTAAGTTTGTAAACTTTGTGACCATTTGATTTGTGAACCTAGCATTTCTCATTTTTTTGTATTCTCCCAACTAAAAAGTAGAAACATATTAATTATTAATTAATGATTACCAATATGTATGAAAATTTTAATTTCTTTATTGATTTTTAAACTTTTTAAATATTGTTTTTTTATTTTCGTATTTAGATTAGAAAAAGTAATTAAGCTAGCCTTTTAGTAAAAATGGAAACATAGAAATACGTAATATATATTTTTTATATTCTCCCAACAAAAAATGGAAACATAGTAATTATTAATTAATGCTTACCAATATGTAATTTTTTTATTTTCATACTCCCTCCGTCCACAAATAAAGTTCCCGTTCACTATTCACAGGGTCAAACTTTATTCACTTTGTTGGCCTATTTTTGTGCCTATAAAATAATATAGTCATGTCACCTCTAGTTTTGTAGATCTTTTCATGTAGTTTTTAAATATGTAATTTCTATTTTTTAATTCCATACCATATTTCATATAAAATGATTTGAAAATAATTTCAGTCAAACATCGTAACGCGCAATGAGAACTTTATTTGTGGACGGAGGGAGTATTTAGATTAGAAATAGTAATCATGCTAACGTTTTCATGAAAATGAAAACATAGAAATATGCAATATATATTTTTTGTATTAACCCAATAAAAAATGGAAACACGGTAATTATTAATTGATGCTTACCAGTATGTAGAAAACATTTAATTTCTTTACTGATTCTGGATTTTGTAAATTTTTTTATTTTCGTATTTAGATTAGAAATAATAATCCGCCTAAGATTTTTATAAAAATGGAAACATAGAAATACACTTTATATGTTTTTTGTATTCTCCCAACTAAAAAATGAAAACATAATAATTTTTAATTAATGCTTACCAATATTAATACTTACTCACATGTTACTCGAATAACACACACTTTCTATATATTACTTTGACATTTTTTATATTCTCCAAATCAAAAAATGGCAATATAGTACTTATTAAGTACTTAATAAGTAATACTTACCAATATTAATGCTTAGAATAAATGTAATGGGGTAACATGCACAAAACTTCCCATTTAATCCTCTCACGTTTGGGCGGAAAAAAATTCACCTCTTTTTAAATAAAGTATAGATTTGTCAAATGCAAAACAAAAACTATGTTACTAACTCAATTATTTTATTTTCCTTTTTAACGAAATAGATAAGAATTTCTCTCTTGTAAATATATAATTTCATTTTGCCAACACTTTTTTAAATGTAGTAAAATTCAAATTATGAAGTATTCTTTTGGACGAATAAACTAGTTTTGTTCATTCAATTCATATGAAAAGTAAAAATACACAAATAATTGTTCTCATAGAAATATGCAGTTTAATTTCTGCTTTGATGTATACATTACAACTTACAACAATTCCCACACAGAAGGGAACTTTAAGAGAAATTGTGTTTTACCAACAAAGGAAAACAAGTGAATCTAACAAGTGGTTTTTTTTTTGGGATCACAATGGAGAGGAAAAAGAACCCCAAGACCTCAAGAGAGATTCCTCGCCAACGTACGACATCCTACTGTCTTCATCTAAAGGTTGACTTACACCATTAGGTGGATACAATGACACTATCTAACAAGTTGTATTTATATAGCATGAGATACAAAGACATGCACGAAGTTGCAATGCCAAGTTAGCATTCGGATCCTTCACACCATTCTTCCAGCGTGGGCGTCGCCACCTCAATATTTTTCATGTCATATATGTTTGCTGTAAACACACGGAAGCAAAAAGTATAAGGGGCTGTTTGGTAACTTCTGAATGGGTAAGTGCTGAACCAGTAAGAGGTCTGAACCATTAAGTGCTGAACCAGTAAGAGGTCTGAACCATTAAGAGCTAGTATATTGTTTAACTATTCAGAGGCAAATGTCTGATCAATTCAGATAAGAGCTCTTAACCATTCAGAATCTGTATAATACTTAACCATTCAGAGGCAAATCTCTTAACCATTCAGACATCTGAACCATTAAGAGGCTGAAACAAACAGTCTGAACCATTAAGTGCTGAATCATTCAGACATCTGAACCATTAAGAGGCTGAAACAAACAGCCCCTAAGACAAATAGTCCCAAAAGTATAGTAGAGAGGCTGTTTTCGGAAGTACCCTTAGGAACAAAGATGGCATAGGGTGAACAAATTTGTTTACATACAAGCATGTACTTCACATGTTGCAGCAGCCGTTGCATCAACAATAACAGTTACAGGTTGATAATTCCACGCCACTGCATCAAAGGCTGTCTGCCTTATACAATTTGGTGTTTGGACACCTAAACAAAGAGTAAGAAAGTTTAGATTCTTCAATACAGATAAACAAAAGGATAGCTTATGTTCTTGGCAGAAGTAGAAAAATAGAAAATGTAGGCATTTTATAAGAGGAAGAACACTACGAAGCAGCATCAAAGAGTTTGTGAACGAAGAACGAGATGAACAACTTAAAAGATTATAACGAATCGCGTAGAATACTTTCAGATCAAAGTAATTTTGGAGTATACCAATATACTTTAAATCGGATTAGATAGAACAAGCACATCGAAAATCAATCCTCGACCATACCCGCGTATCTATATTTATAGAAACGAAAAACCATGAGCAACGTTCGCGCAAAAAAGAAAATGTTTGCATGAAGAGGTTCTTGCGGTTTTGGGCCAATTATGGACGTTTATCCATACGTCCGATTTCTTAACGTTTTGGATTCTATTCACGAAAATCTGAAGGTTTTTCATAAAACAATAATGTCCAAAATAAATCCCGGCCAAGGGCTCTGCCCCTTGGACCCTACCAGGCACTGCTGTCCCCGAACCCCCACTATGAATTTGTACTATTGTTAAACAAGCGTATACTCCACAACTCCTAACTCGTTTGACAACGTCTATACAAATTTTTGTTTGATCTAAGTAAACCCAATTACACAATATAGTCGAGGACACTAAAATCACCAACATAAATATGTCAAATTTTTAAACTGATTTTGCCAAAGGCCTTGTGATCTAACGGCATAAATGTGCCTATTCCAAATGGAAGGTCACATGTTCGAATCCCAGTATGGGAACATTGATTCTTTGTGCTTCATGAAGTTGAGAAAGTATGTATACACATACTACATTGTAATATAGTAATAGTAGTAAAAAAATTAAACCTTGTTTGGGAGGAGCATTTTCAGTTCGCATTTTGAATTATTTTTTAATGGTACACATTCATTTTGAGAACACTAAACGTTGTTGTTAGATAACTATTTCAAAACACTAAAGCTAAAGGTTCAAGTGTTGCCAAACGGGCACAATGGATATGAACCTTAAAAGGAAGTCAATATCTTATATGGCGAGTGATATAGTAAGTTTCTAATACTTCAACTCAAACTATTATGTACAAAATCTAAATGGAAGTTGATTAATACCGGTGACGGTTAAGCTGGTAATCGCATTGGTTTGAAGATATGAATGGAGGTTTGTGTTAAAGAATGCGCTAAAACGCGTCTTTACCAACTTGTAATCCCCTTCCTTGACAACAAGCCCTTCCACGAGTTCAGCACCCACACTCCCCTTGGTAGTTGGTTTTGGCTTCCCAGGGGAGTACAAGTCTCTTCGAAACAACTCCACATCTCTTCCGGATGGATCATGCTCACGCACAACCTGCTTGGTAAAGGTAGATTTGGTTGAAAAAAGAGAAGGATTATGATATTTCTATAACAAACTTGTACATCAGCACCCACAAAAAAAAAATTATTCTCACAAACATCGTCTGCACGTCTTCATATTGTGTGCGTGCATGCACTACTAGACATCATAATGTACGTCATTGGGAACAAAAACCTTGTGTGTGGCCATGTGGGTGTTAGTGTAGTAGTGTACAAGTTTGTTGCACAAAATTGCAGTTTGAAAAACTGAATGAGCTGACTTTATTTATTTTTTGGCACCAAATTATATAAAAGTGCACTTAAAATATACGGAGGGATGCTAATTTTTTAATAAATTAGAGGGCATAGGTAGAAGTGTCACTTTTATTTGTGTTATTCAATTATTAACTTAGTGATTGGCAAAATACTACTCCCTCCATCCCTGGGTATTTGTCTATTTTTTACTTTTTCAATTTTGACCTCAAATTAAATAAAAATGATATTAGATATTGATACAAAAATAGTTTTATTAGATTTATTATGTAAAAAAATTTCAAAATATTATTTTATCTAATTAATATACAATATATATTTTATTTAATTATAGGTCAAAGATTGAAAATAGTTGACCAAAAAAGTCAAAACTGGACAAATAGTCTGGGACAGATGTAGTAGCTAAGATGTCAAATAGAATAAGTGAAGCCTTAAATTTGAGGTTATTGAATACACTGTACCAAATGAAGCACACATCCAAAAACAGAAGCCATAAATTTGTAAACAAGATTTTTGGAACAGAAAAGCTCTCTCAAATAATACAATACCAAACACTTGCAATTGTTGTTCTTTTGCAAAAACACCCCATTGTCAACATTGTAAAACCTAATCAAATGGCATCTCAATTTCCGCTAGGAAGATAGATTAGCCATGGGTAATTAGTCAACAGATTCACATATTACAATTTCTCAAGAAAAACTTTCATGAATCACTGATAAAAATGCAAATTTGGAAGCAATTAAGGAAAAGCAAGAGAAAATAATTGAGATCTGAGAGAGGTTTGATTTAGAGGGTACCCAAATAATAGGCATGCCACGGCTTCTTGCAACCTCAACGGCCTTAATAACGCCGGGGACGATGGCTTCGCCGCCTCTGACGCACAAAGGGCCACCTGGTAGTATGAAATCATTCTGTAGAAAAAGTAAATAAATGGAAATCACAAGGGGTCAAGGGAAATAAAACAAAAAAGAAAAGGAATAATGACAGCTTAAAGAGGCAGATACCTGCATGTCTATAACAAGAAGGGCGGTGCTTCTCCATTTCCCGGTATCGGAGATAGGGGTGTTCATCGGTCCAGGACCAGACCGAATCAGACCGAAGACCAAAATGGGAAAAAATTAGGACCGAAGACCGGACCTATAAATGTTCGTTTTTAGACTGGACCGACCGAAAACCCTTGGACCGGACCGGTATGGACCGAAAAGACCGAACTGTATTACCTTTTAGAATTGAATTTTTTAAATATTTTACAAGTAAAACACTACAAAATGTAATTATAGCCAAAACATACAGTTCATCACAAATCATCACCGGAATTAGGGATGCAGCAATTGTATTAAACTAAAAAAACCTTCATCAAGAAACACTACAAAATGCAATTATACCCAAAAAATACAGTTCATCGCAAATCATCATGGAGAATTAGGGATGCAGCAATTGTATTAAGCTGAAAAAACTTCATCAGGGATGCAATAAAATTGAACTAAAAATACAATGGCCATAGTGGTCAGTGGATGCAAATATATACAAGCAGGACCAGGAGCAGTTTATTCCATTGATAATTGTGTATATACAAAATCTGTATGTATATTTGATTAATAAATTGAAGGATCAGTTCAAACAAATATATAGAAGCTGGAGACTTTTGGATAGCCACGCACCAACTAAAAGTCCATATTCTAGTGCTACTATTTGCATAGAGATAAGTACAAACAATGTACTTTTAAAGACTATTGAATAATAGAGACTGATTTAGCAGAAGAAACCTTTAGCAAAAAAATTAGGTGTTTTTTTTTTGAAAAAGTAAAATTAAAAATTACCAGACCTGTGCCGTAGAATGAACTATCGAGAAAGGAGAGCGTACTGCGGAACTTGATTTCCGCCGATTCTCGTGACGGTCTGAGAAGCAGCCGGAATAGGATAGGGTGGAGAAGATAGAGAAAGGAGCGATTCAACGGAGAAGATGGAGATTGCGATTCAATAACCTATTTTGTCGATTCAATTTGAAGAGGAGGGCAGAGAACTGAGGAAGTGAGTGAGAACGGAGACCGGAGGCGAAGAACAATGGGATATGCCATGGGTATATGCAGGTCTCAACCAAAGAGCTAGCAAATGCTTCATCAATTCAGATAAGGGTCGGTTTGGTATACTGAACTGATGGAATTGGAATTGAAATTCCATGGGATTCAATTCCATAGAATTGAATTCTGCTAATTTCAATTCATTTTTTGCACTATCAATTCTAAATCTACATAATTTTTGTGCTACCAAACACCAGAATTGGAATTGAAGTCCTCAATTCCAATTCCATAGTTTGAATTCCGTGTACCAAACGGGGCCTAAGACTTAACCATTCATACTCTGTATAATACTTAACCATTCAGAGGCAACCTCAACGGCCTTAATATCACCTAAATTGAATATACTCCTATTTATATTTGTATTTGTTTAATATTCGAATCAAAATTAATATTTGAATTTAAATAATGCGAATTCGAATACAAATCACAGATCGAATTAAAAGTATTCCATTTATGATTCCACCGTCTACTTCCACCACAAATTAAAGCCCACGACGGTTGGTGGAGCATCTTTAAGATGGATTTACTAGAAGATTTTAAATGTTCTAATTCTGCCAAATAGTTCCAGTACCCCTATAGTTTGCAAAATTGGTATTAATACCCCTTCTGTTTTCAAAACTTATTTCTAAAATTTTTGTAGTTTAGAAACGTTGCACTCGCATCCCCTCTGATCATTTTCCGGTCATTTTCTGGCAAAGAGGGGGCATTGGCGCATAATTTCTAAACCAGAGGGGACATTCGTGCTCATTTCTTATTTTCGTTGTTTTCCCTTTTTAAAATTTTTTCTATCTCTTTTTCCTTTTCTTAGAAATTTTTTAAAATATATTTTCAATTTTTTATAATGTTTTAAAATTTTTAAAATTCTGTGTTTGAAATAAAATAAAAATAAAAAAATTAACATACAGAATAAAATTAAACATTTTCACTTTTTGTTACTTAGAATAATTTTTTGAAAAGCTCAAAAAAAACTTAGAATAAAAAAATAAAAATATGGAGAAACGAAATGAAAAAAAATTAAAATACGCAAAAAAAATCTTATACAAACAAAAATTTGGACACGCCTACAAAAGTCCTTAGAATTGAGATGTACAAAAAATGATATTCATTTTTATTTTTGTATTATTTTGTTTCTAATTTTATTCCTCATTTTTTTGAAGTTCTCAAAAAAATTTACTTTTTTTTCAGAAAAAACAAAAATTGTTAATTTGAGACGTACATATGCATTATATGTTAATTTTTCAAACAAAAATAACTTTAAATTTTAAGAAAATTATAAAAATGATTTTAATGTTCAAAATAATTTTATTTCAAAACTTTAATCTTATTACGTTGTTTATTTTACCACTACGTATATTTTTAACAAAGTAAATAGAATAAAGTTGGTTTCATTGAAGGGTGACAAGACATTATGCCACATATAAATTCTCTAATGATGCATCATTATTTGATTAGTCCATTTTTTATTTTAGTTTTATATTAATTAAAACCATTTTCATTAGTACTTCATTCAATAACCTTTATTTTTATAAAACCTTTTATTTTTAAATTAACATACTAATATATGTTTCACCAATTTAAAACATATTTTGTTTACATAATTGTATTATCTTAAAAAAATATGTTATAAATTGTATCTGTGTTTTAAAAAATAAAGTTTTATATGATTTTTTTAAAAACATTTGATCAATTCTCTTTTACTACTTTTAAATAAAATACTTGTAGAATTTATAGTACATGTACATCAATACTTAAACTATAACTTTTATATAAAAAAGACTTATCTTAGAGTTAAGAAATATTCATATAACACATATTATGTCCCTAGGAATTTAAAATACATAAAATTATATTTATAGAATGTCGAAATTTTAGAAAATATATGAGCCTGTGAAAAAGACAGAGTTAACACTAGTGAGTATGAAATTTGATTGATGATACATGGTCCGTGAGGCATAAATGATTCTAAATCTCCATGTCTGGATAACGGTAGATGTAAGAAATATTTTCTGAACCATCTTTTTTATAAGACAATATAATACTATAATGACTTTTGAAATACAGAAGAGGAAATATGGAGATCACTAGCATGAGAAAGAACACCAAGTTGGATAATCGATTTATTGTGTCATACAACCAGAACCCTTGATGAGGTATTAAGTTCACATCTGTTAAAGAACCAATTCAACCAAAAGCTCAAGCTTGTGGTTGTGACCCAGGAACATTTATTTATATTCTAACACGCCCCCTCACGTGCAGGCGTAGTCTTTTTTCGAGCTTTGCACGTGAAGCCTTAATTTTTAAAACTGGGTGGCGCTGAGTTTCGAACCCGTGACCTCTTAGTCAACGAGGCTCCAATTCAACCAAAAGCAAGCTCAAGCGTGTGGTTGTGGCCCATGAACAGTTATTTATATTCTAACACGCCCCCTCACGTGCAGACGTAGTCTTTTTCGAGTCTTGCACGTGAAACTTTATTTTTTTAAAACTAGGTGGCACTGAGTTTCAAACTCGTGACCTCTTAGTCAAAGAGGCTCTGATACCATGTCAAAGGATCAATCCAACCAAAAGCTCAAGCTTGTGGTTGTGGCCCAAGAACAGTTATTTATATTCTAACAACATCAATAAAGATTCGGATAGAATAACTATTGCAGTTACACAATCTAACTCTGACACTGTTGATAATGTGATGTATGATGAATTTCAAAAGTACTAATAGTTACTCCCTCCGTCCTAAAATTATCTTCTCACTTTCCTTTTTCCTCCGTCCTAAAATTATCTTCCCACTTCTAAAAAAAGAGTATGAATTGTCTATTTTATCCCTCTCTCCACTATCTCAACCTCCCTCTCATCTTCCGTCTCTTTCCTCCCCTCCCCTCAAAATTAGATCTAATGTTTTTCTCTCTCTATCTTGAGATCTAGATGTAATAGTTTCTCTTCCTCCAACATAGATCTCATCTTCACTCCACCATCGCCGATCAGACCGCCCTGAGAAGGTAAGCCATGCCGTCTGAAATAAGATGCATCCGTGTGTTTTAGATCGGAACGATCGCCGCGCACAGAGAGACTGCGGTCACTGTCGCCACTCCAATGTCGCGACGGCGCCACTCCACAGTCGTTGTCGTCACTCCGTTTCAAATTCAGTGAAGATGCAGCAAATCCCCCAAATCTGCCTTCTCTCTTCTGTCAAACTCTTCCTCTTCCTTTTTGAATATGTTTTTTTCTCGAATTCTTCATCTTGTTGCAATTTTGATTTTTTATTTTGTTTTAAAACCTAATGTTGTTTGAAGAATATGCCTCTGCGTATTGAAAGAAGAACACACCAAGAAAGAAGGCAAGTGACTTTTGTTTACTTTCGGTCCAGTGTCGAGAGGGAGAAAGAAGATTTAGGGGGCATTTTGGGAAAGTCAACTCAATTTTTACACTCTCTTAAAAACCACCTTCGGCCAAACCGGGAAGTTAGTTTTAGGACGGAGGGAGTATTACATGTTTGCGTGTGAGGCATCTTGGATCATCATATCTATTGATATACACCATAGGTGGTTAGAAGTTTAGAGATTGAATTTCTATCTCGTAGAAATTTGTCACCTTTAGAGACCAAAAAATACTTAAGGATATCGAAGAAAATATAGATAAACTTTCAATGTTGAAACTCGGATGATTGCCAATACGCAGTATAATGCGGGATAAAATTCGACGTATGGAGAATTTCAAGGATATTTTGTGTACAATAACAAAGAGTGAAAATGATTCCTGAGGCACCAAAAATCATTGAAAGGTCGGCTACAATATGTGCCAAAGAAACTGGAGAGTTATACTGCTTAAGACAAGGTTTACATACCCTGCATGAATTTGGTAGCATCTGATCTCGAATTTTTCCTGAAGTTCTAGAGAAGACAATCTCCAATAGTGTTATATTTTGCTATGACTATTAACAAAAGTTAAGGTCAAACATTATCTTTTGTTGGATTATTTTTAACGAAATTGGTATCCACTCGTGATTAACTTTATGTTCTTTCAGAAGTGAAGACAACGACAAGATTAAAACTATTGAATCTAAATGACAATGAAAACCTTTGCAACTATATTCAAAATGTTGTATACTCAAAAGTATATTTCAAAAAAATTGAAATTGAAAAAGACTGTCGGGTACATTTTCAATCCTAAAAAAATATGTATTCTACTTTAGCATTGTTTTCTATGGTATTTAAAATCCTCATAAACATATTTTCTTTATTCTTGAAAAAATATTACATTGAAAAAAATTCAGAATCAACAAAAATTTCAATCTTGTGTGTTGCAAGTAGACATGGCAATTGGGTCAATCGATTTGGTTCTGGTTTAAACCTTTTTAGTTCGGGTCTCTTTGGTTTGGGTCAGTTTGGTTTGGTTCAGTTTGGTTCGGGTCAGTTTGGTTTTGGGTTAAGTTTGGTTTGATTTTTTTCCGATTTCGGTTCAAGTTACACCGGTCAGTGTTCATACCGATTCAGGTTTATACCAATTTCAGATGAGATCTCTTGGTATTATAGTTCCTAATGTAAGTCTTGTGTGTAGCCTCTCGCCCCTATGTGTAAAGGGAATTATTTATACAAGCATCAGCAATAATGAGCTAGTATATCCATTGATGTGTCATAAGGGTGTAGATGGATATTAATCAGATTAGATGTGCCATTACCAGATCCGTATCCCTTTTTTATCGAATATCGAATTTGGATACAAATCTTGAGGTATACTAAAAATCAAAATCGTATCCCCGTCCATCGGATATCGGTCAGATATTGGATATCTGTATCCATTTCCAATTTTTTAAGTTAAATTAAAAAATACTTCAATTTCAAATTAAATTAAAGTCAAAAAATTATTTATTCAATTGTAATTTGTTACGGAGTAATTTTTTCTTATTTTTAATAATTTATAATATTCTACGACAACTCCATATGGTAAAAAGACATACACAATACACATACATATTTTTATGTGTCTACACATATATTTTGCATATAAAATTGTCTTATACTTTGAGATGTCAATAGAAAAACAAAATATAATAATAAAAAATTTAGAAAAATGATATATAACAGATTGAATATACGGATAAACGATTACTTAAACGAATGTCTATGCGGAGTGGATTATAAACGGATCAAATGTATGATTAACAGATCCATATCCGTTTACCAATCGGATATCCTTAATCGAATACGGATCATAACTTCTTTTAACGGATACAAATATTTTTCGTATAAACGGATACAGATGCGGACGGTAATCGAATTTTCGGTTGTCCATTTACTGCCCTAAATGTGTGTTACAATGTCACTATGAATTATATAAACTCTCTAGAAAAATAGACAACAACCTTAGTTTAAGTGATAAAATATGGGGTAAAAAATGCGTACATTAAATCAGTTGTACTTATAATTCAAATATCTTTTTTAGAAAGACATCAACCAATGAACTATTAGGTTTGTCTGGATTTGAGTTTAATTTATTTTGAATTTGATCAATATTCGGTCTAATAGGTTTTTGAGTGTAACCGGTTTCCGATCTAATCGACTCCAGATGTAATCGATCAGTTCATGTCGAACTAGTTTGGGTTCAATCAGATATGGATTCGAATTGGGCTGAATAAATAATGTTAGGATCTGTTTTGTTTCACCCGGTCTAGACTTGCACGGTGTAAAAATAGGAAAATGCTAGGGTGCCACCACATGGGTGCTATCATGGGTGCACCAATGCTTCGTACAGACAAACACAGAGGATAATTGTCTGTGCCGCACAAACAATTATCGTCTGTGTTTGTCTGTGCGGCACCGGTCCGTAAAAATACTAGTTGAACTTAAAAGAAGAGAAGTTTTTCTCTCTTTCTTTGGTGAACTTATAAACAAGGGAATAAAATGGCGTTCTCTCTTTCTAAGGGAATGGTTGCTGCTGCTACTCCACCTCAATATCATCACCTCTCCCGCACAGATGCCATCTTCCCGCTTCGCAGAACGCTTCATGCGAAACCCTTGTTAACTCCGATTTCAATCTTGAAAAGTAGCACTCCTTTCAGATTCTCATCAGTGAACGCAGCAGCCAGTCCCGATGACATTGGCCAATCTTCCACAGGCCCATCACCCATTGCTCAAGAAGATGAAAAACCCTGTAAGGTAAAAACCCTTTGATCTTCTGATTCAGAAGAGAATTGATTCTATGGGTCGACAAATCTAGACTTCTTGTGTTGTACTGTGATATAAGTTTAGTTCTAAATGTGCATTCTGTTTAAGACCTTCTGCAGTGGGTCGACTGGAACAGTTTGTTCCGAATCTTCCGATCAAGAAAGGGTTCTTTCCTTAAAAAAAGGCTTGGTTCTTCAAGAAAGGGACTGTAATTCTTTGTATGTTTATGTGTACTGTTGATGTTTTATTAGCCAGAACTAACTCAAGAAAGAAGGTGGTTAATTGTTTGATAATTGAAAAGGTGATTGGAAATTTACAAGGTAACTAAAAACAGAAATAGTGGCTGAAATATTTGAAAGTTGACAGGGTAACTTGTTACTCCGTAGTTATTAGAGAGTAAAGAATCAAGGCACCTAAATTTTGGGTCAATTACTCAAACAAGTTTCTTAGAGTGGCAGGCAAAAATTAAACATGGCATATGCCCATCACATTTATCGTCACTCACTATCTAGTTAGTTTAATTTATAGGCCAAGGTGAACAAAATATCTTATCCTTAGAACTAAAATAGCTGAAAATGATGCTGGAACATCGAAGTGGGATGCTCTTGCTGCTCGTGTGGTACCCATTACATCATACTGTGATGCATCAAACAAGAGAGTGGCTTTTGACAGCACATCTGTTTCACAATCCATGATCATATGAAGTATGGTTCTGTTTTTGTTTGTATAAAAAAGTGCGGGATTATGATTAGGAAGTGGAAGAATGTGTGAGAGTGCTGAAAAGGGCTGCCAAGACAAGAAAAGTTCCACCTTGGGAGATTCTTTCTGCATTCTCAGTGATCGAGAAGGCAAAGCTCAACCCCTCTGGTTTCTTTGAAACTCTTGGAGGAACCGAGTCACCTGGAAGAACTTGGATGCTTATTTTCACAGCAGAGGTGAGTTTTGTCATTCACTGATTTCAGAATGAACCTCTGAATTGTTTTGTTTTGTGACTATGTGCCCACGTCTTAGCTGCAGAAAAAGCTACAGCGCGGGAGATATTTTCCAATTACAGCTGTTCAGAGGTTCGATGCAGCTGTAAGCTTCCTCGTATCTCAGAATGAATCTTTTATTATTTAGTGCTGCTTAAATTGGAAGACAGAAATACATTGGCTTATTCATTTCAATGTTTACGTAATTGTAGATGCTACTAAATAGTACATATATCCATACCACTTTGGTCTGAATCTAGGGCCTATTCTTTTTCCTATGCTCTTCTTTCACATAGAATATAGGCATATAGCTTTACGATCAGAGTATCAGACTAGAATTAAAAAAGGAATAGTGCAATCGTAAAACTTTATGAAGCATCTCAGACAAGAAATTACACAAACTCAGGGAATTTCAAGTGGATGGACCATAAGTGCAGGCATGTTTTTATAAAAATTGTCTTACTGCATCGCGTTGCAATATGGAGTTTCTTTTTGTGGCAGAGAAGTGAAGTGCACATGAATATTGTATTTTTTCTTTCCCTTTATGGATATAGTCTTTCATCATTGTGCAACAACAAAAATTTACCGAGTGTTTAAAAACTATGTAAATTGTATAAGATTTGGTTTGTTTGATATTTCAGGGAAGGAGAATCGAAAATGGAGTTTATCTTGGCCCTTTAGGATGGTTGAGCTTTGAAGGGAGGTTGTCGTGGAAGAGTAGAATACTTGCATTCACGTTTGAGCAGATCCGCGTGAAGGTTGGCCCTTTTAAGCCATTTGATATTGGTGTCAAGGCCGGGAAGGATGAAAGGGAGCCAAGCAACAAGAACGATCCATTTTTCATTTGGTTTTATGTAGATGAAGAAATAGCTGTTGCTCGCGGTAGAAGTGGGGGCACTGCCTTTTGGGTTCGTTGTCGACGTGTTGGTGTAGACTTATAGTATCTAAGGTAGTATTTTTGTTTATAGCTCTACAGAAAACATATACTTGCAAATGTATCATGCTTCGTAATCATACTTCACGGATCGAAGAGACATTGAGTCGAACACATTTTATAATGCAACTCTATCCAGAAACCAATTTTCATTGGAATCTGTAGATTGAGATGCATAGAGCGCTTGAGGGGTGGATTTAGACGACCCGACATATTCAAAGTTAAAACGATGCAAACAATCTCACGCAAATAATGGATTCACGCGGAGGCCCCCTCCCACGCCCTTGCCGCCGCGGCCACGGCTGAAGGAGTTGTGCCACCATGATAGCCGCTGCAACCACTATGCTATTCGCCGTGGTTTGATCCTCGACCACGGCCATAAAAGTCGGAATCAATATCAAACCATGCCTCAAAATCAGGGATAGGGAAGGACAAAGCCGGAGGCGGTGGTTGCGCCTTGCTACTCTCGATCTGTCGGCGGGGACGACATTCATAGTGGAGGGAGGGGCTGATATGATATGTAAAATTTGCACTGAATATGACTAAAACATATGTCATTTCTCAGGACTTAAACTTTTTTATTCTCTAAATAGGACTTAATAATGACTAGTGAGAAAAATAATGTTCAAGTAATGCAAGACATTTAGTTGAATAATGATTAATGGATTATGACCAATGGTCCTACATTAGAAAATAAAAACATATGGTCTTATATTAAGAAAGTCATTATGTTTTAGTCCTATTTAGGTAAATTAATCATATGATATACTCCGTAGTAGATTACCAAGCACTCGTGTGAATTCAATATCAAAAGATTACAGTCGACTGTTCACCGCACTAGCAAAAGGAACGAATCCATACTTTATACCGTATCTGTGTTTCGCCCAGAAACGAAAATATAATCAGTAAATATAATATCAATGACTCAACTGTCATTACATTCCATGCGAAGAATGGGGGTGGGGGCAAAGCAATTCCAGTTCGAGTTTTTTTTTGTAGTCTATTATTAGCTTATTGAGTTAAATTTCATAAAAGATCCCCAGTTATAGGTCATTTTACATATTTAGTCCATACATATCAAATATTATTAATTTAGTCTCCAATTATTATATTTATTTCCACGAATGGTTATTTGTTAATATTTCCATTAAGAACGTGGATAAAATTGTAAATTCATACTCCTTTTTCTCCTTAATTAAGCTTCATCCCTCCCCTCGTACACCTTTCTCAAACCCGTCACTGAGTTTGAAGCTTTGAACCCAAAACTGAAATCATCACTCTTCTCTTAATTGTTTGTCTAACTGGTGGAACCCAAATTCGAAACCAGTAACCTTTAGAATGAGTTTTAATGTTTATTTTCTTTGCAATTTTTTGAGACTAACCGATAAAACTCATCCATAAAGCTTATTGGTTTTTATTTTAAGTTTCACTAGAAAGACTAATAATTGAGAGAGGAATGATCATTTTAGTTCTAGGTTTAGAGCATTAAACTCAGCGACAGGTTTGGGAAAGAGTACGAGAGGAGGGAGGAAACTTAATTGAGGAGAGAGAGAAGTATGAATATATAATTTTATCCATGTTTTTAACAAAAATATTAACAAAGGACCATTCGTGAAAAATGATATGATAATTGGGGACTAAATTAGTATTATTTGATATGTAGGGACAAAATATGTAAAACGACTTATAACTGGGGACTTTTTATGGAATTTACTCTAGTTTATTACTCCATATGCTTCCGTGATGAAATTAAGTACCCCCATCACATTTGGATTATAGTATTCATTTTTGTGTAGTTTAATATTACACCAAAGTTCTCATGTCTTCAAAGTCAAAATCAACTTGTGTGATACAATTGAAGAGGGTGGAGGGGTGTGTTCCGGTCGGGGCGGGGTGGGAGGTTTACCGGGGGTTAGGGGGTAGAAACCATCAATTTTGCGAACGAGGCACTGGAGCGCCCTCGGGTCATCCCATGACATTGTCAGGCAATGTCATGGGAACCTTGCCCTTAATATCAAGGGCTTGTTCTTTACTTTTCATCTGATCTGAATGGTTCTAATTTGTTTGTAATAAGTTTTGATCTGATCTGAATGTAGTTATATTAAAAACTGTTTGTAGTCTGATTCTAATTTTAAAAAAATTACAAAAAATAAGAATAAGTTAGATAAAATGACTCTGAGTCACATTTAAGAAAGTATTTTACAAATTACTACCAATAGCTCATATGGTAGCCCATATGAGTATGTACTTTTAGAACGCTAGATGATAGGAATACGGGGGAAGGGTTACACGTGTGTAATGATGAGATACACTTCATAATTAAAGTTAAAACTTCCAAAAATTCATAGAGGGAAAATCTAAAGACAAATTTTGGTAAAATTACATTTCCCTCCTAATTTTTTCATTCTTAATCTCGAATTCCTATAAATGAGTGCATTTATTGCTCTCATTCAATAACCCCAAAGCTATAACCAAGGGAGCCAATCCAAACTTCGTGGAGGAGGGTTAGACTGATCCAAACTACAAGAGATAACAATACATGACTACTATACAAATATTCAAATAATATTTAATTACTAATTATCCTTAACACGTCGACCTGTCAGAGATGCCAATCTTGGGCCGAAACTTGTGAAACAAAGCAGTCCACAAAGACTTAGGGGGTGTTTGTTTTTCCGCCAGAAGACCTTCTGGCGTCTTTTGTCTGCGCCGCGCAGACGCGCGCAGATGATGGGCTCTGCAGATTGTTTGTTTTTTGGAAGACATTTCACTCAAAAAGGTCTTCCTGGCATCTTCTTGGAGAAGACATTAACCAATGTCTTCTAACATCTTCTCCTTTTTTTCTACTTCTCTTCACCACCACAACCGTTCACCGCCACCGTCCACCACTACCACCGTCCACCATCACCGTCACCGTCCATCACCATCGTCGTCCACCACCACCGCCACCATCCACCGCCACCGCCACCACCGTCCGCCACCACCGT